TTGTCAAGCAGCAAAATTCATCTTTAATAAAGATTCAAGCATGATGTGTCAAGACAAATGTTCGCTAGATGGCAAGCTTTATTAGCACCATTTGATTTTGAAATTATTTATAAAAAAAGGTCAGATAATAGTCTCCCTCATTTTCTGACTAGAGAATATCTGAGTTAATAATTCTTTTGCTATGTTACAGGATATGAGGCCTGAGTACATACCCCCTCGTACGAGAGGAAGTGGAAGGACATCTTCGTATGGCAGAGGGAATATCCTTGCCCAGATTGGAAACTAACAGTTAGTGGTTGCTAATATAGCAGGGACATCAGGTGTTAACACAGAACACCCAATGTATAAAGAATTCCTGGATTTCATAAAATCCAAGCCAGAAAAGAGTAATCCTCCGACATACTCCTCAATAATAATGGATGAAGATCATGAGAACCTTGAGGTTTATAACAGCATGGAAAGAAAAGAATTAATAATTCTTTTAGAACAGTCCGACCTAAAATGGAAGGGTAATCCATGGCAATTAATGACCAGATATTTCGATACAGTGTCATACGCTACTCCTGGTTATTAGTACAGAATGCACTATGAGATAATACTCTCATCTACAGGATCGGATGAAATCCAGCATTTCTATCCTGCTAACACTAAGAGAATTTATAACTTCTCTAAGATAATCATTAAAAAGGTATTAGCCTCAGATGAATGGGGACTTAGTACCTTAAAGGAAAGGGAATACACCCATCCAGAATAGAAAGTTGCAGTAAAATTTAATTACTGGATTATGTAGAAAGTTTTAATAAAATCTTCTTATATGAGAATCCTAATAGGAAGTACTCATGGTTTATTAAATTGTGTTCTAAAATGTTTGACCAACAGATCCCAAATTGGTTCTGTAAATGGTGGATGTTATACGGTCCATCCCCAGAAATACTCCCCTCATTTTATAAAAGTTTATATACCCAATGGATAGATGTATCCCCTCGAATTATTGAATTACAAAGTGATAATATTTTCTTTGAAGGAATAGCCACCATGTATTTCTTTATAGAATTTTCTATTCCTTGGATAATGAAATGGGATGTCGACAGAGGCGGATCTAGGATTTCTAGTACATGGGTGCACTACTAAAAAAAGGAGGAAAAATGTATATATTGGGAATTGATCCCTATACCTCTAGGTAAACAACTCAACCTTCGACCAAGTGCACCATTCAACATTCCTGGAGCATGGGTGCCAACAGTTAATAGTATACCAATTTTAGAAAATATGTACATTAAATATCTAACTTTACGAAGAGACCATGGATTCGCGTGCCCCGTAATTACACCTATAAATCCGCTCCTGGATGTCGAAGTAAATGAGACTCTGGAAGGATTCCCATGCATTAACAGAATTTTTTATACCAAATTCGGAAGAAAATTACTCCAAACAGATCCACAGGGCAAATTATATGGCCAAGATCTTAAGGATAATATCCGGCGAAAGATAGAGTCTTATGGCACACAAGAACCAACCAAGGCAGAAGCGGAGGGATTAAGTCCGTTTCATCAAGTTATTAAGAGGCTCCAAATGAAAAAGGGAGCAATACCCAAAAAAAGAAATCTTAGCTTCTTATATGGAAGAAGTTAAGAAAGATTTAATGAGAAATCTGGAGATAGAAATACCGGATGATATTTCTATGACCTCCACAGGACATACCATAGAAGAAGATGCAATCATAGCTGGAGAATCACAAGAGGAAGACAATGAAGAATTAGACCTCGAAAGAGTAGAAAAATTTCTACAACAATTCAAAGAGAATACAGAAGAATCTTCCACTAAAAACAATAAAGGAAAAGATAAAGCCTGATAGAGATGCAGAAAGCCCCACTGATGAATTATTGGGATAATGAAGACAAAAAACTTTAATAAAGTAATGGACCCCGCCACTGTCGGGAATCTACTTTTATAAAAGTAGTTTGTCTATTTTCTTTTAACTTTTGACTTTTTAGGATTTACGCTTTATCTTGTCAGCCACGTTGTAATTATTTTGCAGGCCATTTTACTGTTTAGTTTTTGTTTGTTTTAGGTGATCCACTATATAAGGATCAAATTCTTTAGTAGAGAGGCAGGCTTCGGCTAAGCTCTCCCTTCTCTCTAAAAAACCTCTCCCATCTCTCTAGAATCCCCTCCTTTGTAAATCTCACTTAGTAAATTTTATATTAGGAATAAAAAATCAGAAAAAGCTACTTGGCCACAACTTCCCGGTCTCAGGTACTTTTTATTTTTAAGTTTTAATTTAGTATGTTTATACATTTAGCCTAAATGATAGGCTAAGTATTTCTGTGTTAAACTTAGTCACAATAAGCTACTCTTGAACATGTTTTGTTATTAGTTTTATTGTTTCACCCAATGGTTCTAAGGTTGAGACTATATAGACCAGGCAGTTGTTAGTTTCGACAGTAAACCCTGGTTATGGAAACATAACCGGTGGTCCTTAATTGACTCGTTTAGCCAAGGATGGGCGTTGAAGGGTTAGATAGGAGGACCGTGGTTTAGGGACAAACTGTCCAAGATCTAAGTAATGAGATTAACAATCTCAAAAGGGAAATCTCAGATCTAAAGGCTTCAAATGTAGCCTTAGATAAAAGGATTTTCAAATTAGAAAATTCTGAGACGAATATCAGTCAAGGATTCAGTATTGATATTACTGAAAAAGAAGACGAAGTCGGTACTTCCGAAGATGCTGCGAAAAGAAAGGAGCACCATCCTATAACAGATGCATATAGCTTCTGTACCAGGTAAGTAATCATAACCCTTAGTAGTTCAAATAAACTATCATTAGTCAGGACATTGATATCTAAGTCCTTAAAGTAAATAAATATTATAAACGTCATCATCAGTGTCATTACAACACTGATTTTGTTTGCAGGGCCCACACTCATCTTCACAGGTAGCCAAGTCTCTCCATTCAGACACATTTCATACTAAATACTGATGTTTAGATTATCCATCATAGTTAAACTGTTTTTAGTTTAGCTGCAACCCTCCTTATTATCTGTAAACTTTTGAAAAGACCAATCTGTCAAACATTCAACTGTGTCTCAGTCCAAACTAGTTGAATCAGCTATAAGGATCTTTGTTTATTCATAGTTAAGACTGTATTTACATTGGTTACAATCCTCCTAATTAATCTGCTAACTCTTGAAAGATCAATCAGTCAACCAATATACTACAGCTCAACTCAAACTAGTTAAGTCAACTCCATGAATCCTTTGTATCCCTTCCCTCCATTCAGACCCATTTCATACTAGATGCAGATGTTCAAACGGTTCATCATAGTTAGAGAATTTTTATTTGGTTGCAACTTCCTTTACTCCCTCCTTTCCAAAGAGAATGATATTATTTCTTTATTAGAGGGTGTTTGGATTGACTTTTAAGTTGTTCAAATCAGCTTTTAAGCTCTTTTTAGCTTTTTTCGGTGTTTGGGAAAGTCAGAAAAGTGCTTAAAATAAGTTAAAAACTGCTTAAAACAAGCCAAAAGCAATAAGCTGGACAACCCCAACTTATTGCTTTTTGGCTTAAAAGCTAATTCGGCTGAAAAGCCACTTTTTTTAAGCCAATCCAAACGGGCTCTTAGTCTGTTCCAAAAAGAATATTATTTTCTAAATTTGGAACCAATTTAACTTGAACTTTGCATTTTATTCTCAATGACAAGCTTTTATAGTCACACAAATGATATGACATTTAAGACCACAAGTTTCAAAAGTCTTATAACCACACAAATGTTATGGCATATTTAAGACCACAAGTTTCAAAAGTCTTACTCCCTCCGTCACTTTGTTTGTCATAATTTCGTTCGACACGAAATTTAAGAAAGAAAGGAAAGGAGGGAGTCTTAAAACTTGTAGTCTTAAATATACCATACGATTTATGTGGTTATAAGACTCTTGAAACCTGTGATCTTAAATATGTCATAACATTTATATAGCCATAGAAGCTTCTCATGAAGTAAATATAAGAATGTATCATTCTTTTGGAACAAACTAATAAGGAAATAGTGCCAAACAAAGTGAAACAGAGCGAGTACTTTCTTTCTTAAACTCCGTGTCTTGTCAAACTAAGCCATATAAATTGAAAAGGAGGGAGTAATTTAAAAGTACACTTATGAAACGGACCAATGAGTCAATCAATCAACTACTCCTAAATCCCAAACTTGTTATGATCACCTATACAAATCCTCAGTACCAATTCCCTCTATTCAGACCATTTAATACCAAATGCCTATGTGTAAAATTAATCATATCATCTAAAAGCTTAAGCTGTTAACATTATTATTTACTTAATTAAGTATTGCACAACCTCACGCGTAGGCCTAGTTCTTTTTAATGGGCCAAGGACGTGGACATTCTTTCGGAGAAAAATACAAAATTGGCCAGTCGGTTGAAACTAATTGCATCCATTAGCCAAAGAGTATATAAAATATGTATACTATATGTATATAATACGCACATATATAGATTTTAATGAGTCATATTGACCTTTCTCTCTCTCTCTCAGGCGCACGTTAGATGTGATAACCTGCGCCACTCGCCGGAAATGGGAGGAAGAGGGAGGCCTAGGAAAAACCAAAGCAAAACGCCAGTCATTGAACGCGGAATCATAAATTATTACAAAGGACCAAGGAAAACAACATGCAAAAGGAAAAATGCAGGAGGATGAGTTAGATCTAGACAATGACAGTGAGTTGAATTGGCCAGATCTGAGCTGCAATCGTGTAAAATCAGCTGGCCCAGTGAGTCCAGTCAATCAAGGGATACCAAAATTGAACATATCGCCGGTCGTCATTGGTGGAGCGAGCACGAGCAAAGCAAATTCCAATGTAACAGTAACTACCAGGCCTATAATGGAGCAAGGTAATGGAACAATGCCAGTACAAGTTGAGGAAGAGAAGCACAAACAGATGAAAACAAACAATATTGGAAGGTCATGGACAGGATTACTTCAAGAAAACAAACTTGCTGCAAAGAGATGGATCTAACATATATACCACCGGTGATGCAAGAGGGTGAAGTAGTAGTGCAAATTTTGGAAGAAGACATAGTTGAGGAGAAGCAGAAATGGAATCGAGCAATAATTATGTACATAGTTGGAAATACTCCAACTATAGGAGCTATTGAACGATTTGTTGCTGGTCAACGGGGAAAAATCGGGAAGCCTAAGGTACTATTTCACAATGATGGATACTTTATAATTTTGATGCATAATTCTGAAGAAAGGGATGAGGTATTGATGAATGGGCCTTATACTATGAATAGTAGACCAGTAATATTAAAGCCATGGATTGAGGGATTTGATTTTAGTGAAGAGGTGCTGAAAACTATTCCTCTATGGGTTAAATTCCCAAAACTTCCACCGAATTATTGGAGTAACCTAGCCCTTAGCAAAATTGGGAGTGGATTAGGGAAACCTCTTTATGCTGATGCATGCACAACTGTGACTAATAGGATCTCATATGCTCGGATTCTAATTAAAATGGACATAACAAGGACTTTACCAGGGACAATTAAACTTATTGATCCTACAGGTGAAGTCATTGAGCAACTGGTACAATATGAATGGAAGCCTCAATATTGTCAAATATGCTGTAGCAAATGCAGAACCAAGAAGGGGGGCGACAAAACTATAAAGCACAGAACCAGAAACAGGTATGGAAAGTTGTGAGGAAACTTGATCCAAAGATTGATAAAATAGATACAAGTGGAAGATTTCTGGAACAAGTGGAGGAGGATAAAGAAGAGGCTCAAAACAACAAGCCAAATGAAGAGCAATGGCAACTGGCAAGAGGGAAGTCTGCATCAAAGAAGAATACGGAAGGGAGAAATGAGAATGGAGTTAATATAGGTAATGCTTTCAAAGCTTTGGTGGATACTGCACAAAAGATAATTCAAATGACAGAGAATCAAGACCAAGGTAGAGAGCTGCCTAGAGATAGAGGTAGAGGTGGTACTTTGAATCCAAGATCCATAAAATAATGAACAGCATATCTTGGAATGTTAGAGGATTGAATAAGGGGTACAAGCAAAAAGAACTAAAAAATTTATTAGAGAAAATAAGGTGGTGTTAATGGCTGTGCTAGAGAATAGAGCTAAGGAAGTAAGGGCAGAATCTGGTTATAAAGAAAGTGTTTAATAGTTGGAGATGGATAGCAAACTATACGACTGCTCCAGGTGGAAGAATATGGGTTGTTTGGGACCAGACAAAGGTGAATTTTGAGAGCTATGATATACACAAGCAATACATAATAGGGCAGGTTACAGAACTCCAGAATGGCAACAAGTTTAACTTTGGAGCCATTTATGGTATGCATATTGTTCAAGATAGAAAATTATTATGGGAAGATATGGGAAAAATCATAGCTGGTATTAATGGACCTTGTGTGTTAATGGGGGACTATAATACTATTTTATCTAGTGAAGACAGGATATAAGGAACCCCAGTACAAGAATTTAAAGTGAAAGATATCAAAGAGTTCATTTGGGAGGCTGGACTAACTGAATTGAGAACAGTTGGAAGGAAGTACACTTGGACAAACAATCATGTCCATATTAAGATAGACAGAATACTTGTCAATGCTACATGGATCTAGAAATGGCCTGGTATGGAGGGGAGGGTGTTGCAACCTGGTTTTTCTGATCACTGCCCCTTGAGTATATCAATTGATACTGACCAGCAGAATGGAAAGAGACCTTTCAAGTTTTTCAATTGCTTGACTTAACACAAAGAGTTTGAGGATACTGTACACAAATGCTGGACAAAAAGGGGTGGTGGAACAACAATGAACAAGGTGTGGATGAAACTCAAGATACTAAAGACCAAGATGAAGCAAATGGATAGTCAAGATTTTAACAGTGCTGAACAAAGAATTCTAGTAACAAGAGCAAAGTTGGAAGGGATCCAGGAACAAATGGTTGGACCTGGGAATAGCAATGAAAGTGTAGCTCAAGAAAAAGAGGCAAAGATGGAGTTGGCTAAATGGATTGAAATTGAGGAAAGTATAATGAAGCAGAAATCAATGATTAAATGGCTAAACCTGGGAGATTCAAATACAGCATATTTCATACATGTGTTAAGAATAGACAAGCAACTAATCACATTGGAAGATTGACAGATAGTGCAGGGAAACTACTCTTGAATGCTAATGACGTGGAAGCAGAAATACTGAAGTTCTACAAGCAGCTACTTGGAACAGCAACAACTCAAATACCAGGAGTTAATACAGAAGTGATGCAGCAAGGCTACAACCTAAGCAGACAACAGCAACTGAAGCTAATACGAGCAGTAACTGAAGATGAAATCAAGCAAGCATTACAGGGTATTGATGACAATAAAGCACCAGGATGTGATGGATACAATGCATTCTTCTATAAGAAAGCATGGCATATTATAGGGAAAGAGGTGACTCAAGCTGTGATGGAGTTTTTTGAGGAATCTGTGATGTGCAAACCAATCAACTGTACAACTATTACCCTAATACCAAAAGTGAAGAACCCCAGTAATATCAGAGAATTCAGACCTATCTCATGTTGTACTGTGTTATATAAGATTATCTCCAAGATACTAATATCTAGACTGTAGGAAGTCATGCCAAATTTGATTAACAATTGTCAAACAACTTTTGTGCCAGGAAGATTGATCACAGATAATATTATAATGAGCCATGAACTGGTCAAAGGTTACGGGAGGAAGAATATATCACCTAGGTGTATGTTGAAGATTGATATACAAAAGGCCTATGATTCTGTGTAATGGGTATTTGTTGAACAGGTGATGAGGCTATTAGGACTTCCAGAAAAATATGTAAGATAGGTAATGGTTTGCATCAGTACTGTCTCATATTCAATCATTGTCAATGGGAAGCCAATCAAACCATTTGAAGCAAAAAGAGGATTAAGACAGCGAGATCCCATTTCACCATTGCTATTTGTAATTGCTATGGAGTACCTATGTAGGTTAATGAAGTAGCTAGGAAACAACAAAGAATTCAGATTTCATCCAAGGTGTGCTAAAGTGAGACTAATACAATTGGGATTTGCTGATGATCTGCTTTTATTTTGTAAGGGAGATGTGCAGTCTGTTGTGGCATTGTATAAACAATTCCAAATATTTTCTGCAGCTTCTAGGTTAGTGGCAAACACAAGTAAAAGCTGTGTATATTTTGGAGGTGTAGATAGCAGGACACAGCTGAAGATAATGGAAGTACCAGGATACACTAAAGGTGATCTACCTTTTAGATACCTTGGTGTCCCCTTGAGTACAAAAAGATTGTCAGCAATTCAATGTGAGCCTCTGAATGATAAAATGCTTAATAGAATTCAATGCTGGACAGCCAAGTTTCTATCTTATGCAGGAAGAGCAACACTGATCAAAAGTGTGTTGGGAACAATTCCGAACTTTTGGGCACAAGTATTCATTTTGCCAAAGAAAATTATACAATTCATTGAGGCAATCAGCAGAAGGTTTTTATGGTCGGGCAGTGCTAAACCAACAAAGAAAGCTTTGATAGCTTGGGACAAACTATGTGCACCTAAGATAGCAGGGGGATTAAACTTCACAAACATAGAACTATGGAATAAAGCTGCTATTTGTAAGCTGCTTTGGAACGTTTGCAAGAAGAAAGAGAAGTTGTGGGTGCAGTGGGTTCATACATACTATATAAAAGATAACAATATATGGGATACTGAACCAAATAATGCCTCATGGGTAATCCAGAAAATATTCAAGGCCAAGGCACAATTCCAAGAGGCTGGATACTCAGAGGATGATGTGAGGTACAGTGACAGTTTTTCCACCAGGAAGATGTACAAAGCACTAGAAGGGGAATTTCAAAAGGTGACGTGGAGATGCTTAGTATGCAACAACAAGGGAATGCCAAAGTGGATCTTTATCCTAAGATTAGCTAATACAAGACAGGTTAGCTACTAAAGAAAGACTAGTAAGATGGGGCTCAGTAGATGAAACTTTGTGTACACTGTGCCACAGGAACAATGAAATAGTGCAGCACTTGTTTTTTGACTGTGATTATTCAAATGAGATATGGCAAAAGTTACTATCCTGGCAAGGGGTCATGAGAAGGAAAAAACAGTGGAAGGAAGAAGTTCAATGGGCAGAGAAGAAGGCAGCAGGGAAGAGTGCAGGAGCAAACATATACAGAATGGTTTTGGATGCAGCAGTCTACCATATTTGGCAAGCTAGAAACAATATTATTTTCCAGAAGAAACAAATCAATGCACAGAGTATAGTGAAAACGATAGTTCAAGAGATACATATAAGAGCTCAACATTGTAAAAAAATTGGATACTTATATAAGTAATATGAATTGGTATCCAGTATGAGCTAAGTAAGGATTGTAGTAGGAGTTTAAGGAGTAGAGAAGAAATCTCATGCTGGGGCTTCATGTCCAGCAAAAAATAAATATTTACTGTAATTATATTATTTTATAAAATATAAAAATTAAATACCTAGGGGGCTTATGCCTGTGTCACGATCCAATTCTCCCTCCGTAAGATGTCGTGACGGCACCTAGTCTCTACGACTAGGTAAACCTAACAATTGCGGAATAATCGAAAATAAAGACAAAATCAACAACTAAATTTCAACAGACAACTATATACCGGAAAAATACCGCTCGGCATGTCCAAGTAAACCAGCATTTGAGAATAACAATATTCCTAAAACCCGGTAGTCACAAGTCACAAGCTCTAAGAATTTGTCTAACTGTTTCTATACATCAGTAACTAGAAGAAATAATGGAGGAACAACATAAAAAGGATAGAGGGGGACTCTGAGGTCTGCAGACGCTGGCAGATATACCTTGAAATCTTCGGAGCGGCAGCAAGTACGCAACTAAGAGTGGGGCTGGTAGGAGGTACCTGGATCAGGACACAAAGCATGTGCAAAAGAGTAGCATGAGTACACCACAACGGTACCCAGTAAGTGCCAAGCCTAATTTTGGTAGAGTAGTGACGAGGTCAGGTCAGGGCCGTACTGGAATATAATAATTTAAGGCAGAAAAAAATATAGCAGTGTAATAAGAGACTGCAAAATTTAACATGGAGAAACTATAGAAGATAACAACACAACATATAGGGATAAATAACAGGGGCGCTCCCGAGATACGGTCTCGTAGTCCCAAAAGTAAATGCTCAACATGGGATCTTCCGAGATACCGTCTCGTAGTCCCAAAAGTAAATATGCAAGGGGATCTCTCGAGGTACCGCCTCGTAGCCCCAAAAGTAAATGTGTAGGGGGATCTCCCGAGGTATGGCCTCGTAGTCCCAAAAGTAAACACACAGCTCGAAACTTATGGAAACAACAATTAATATCAAGAACTCTACAGTTTAAGACTGATACAAATCAAGGAAAAATAGGAATTCAACTAAGCATGCTGCACATATTTCAAATTAGCATTTAAGATACGTAGACATGCGATTTAGGATAAACAGGATAACTACACATGCTGGTATAACTCAATTAAGATGTAACAGGTTACTACTCTGTAAAAATCGGATTTTTCAACAATTAGCCCGTGTACGCACTCGCCACCTCGCGTACACAGCACTCACATATCACAGAAGTATCACAATAGTGCCAAATGCTAAGGGGATTTTCCCCACACAAGGTTAGGCAAGCCACTTACCTCAAACCAAGCTCAATCAATCAGTAAGAATGCCGTTTCCTCGATTTTCCGACTCCAAATGGCCCAAATCTAGCCAAAAGCCATTACATACCATGAATATAACTATAAGAAACTAATCTAATTAATGAAATCAAGATTTTAACAAGAAATTCGAAAATCGCCTCAAAATGTCGACCTGGACCCACGTCTCGAAATCGGGTAAAAGTCACAAAATATGAACACACATTTAACCATGAGTTCACTCGCACCAAAATTACTCAAATCCGATATCGAAATCTCAATCAAAACCCAAAAACTTGGTTGAAGAACTTTTCCACTTTTTCCCCAAATTTCTCAACCCAAATCTTAAATTTGAAGATGAAACTAATGATAGATAGTGGGATATAACCAAAAACAAATGAAGAATCATTACCCAATCGAGCCTCTGAAAATCCCTCCAAATATCGCCAAAATCCGAGCTCTCTATCTCAAGTTATGATTAAAATGGCAAAACCCTCGTTTTTGAAATATAATATGCTGCCAAGGTAAAACCTTCTTCGCGAACGTTGAAGCATCCTTGCGTTCGTGAAGCATAAAAATTCTTCAGTCCAAAAACCTCCTTCGCGAACGCGATGGCCTAATCGCGAACGCGGAGCTTACACAGTCTGAACTTACGCGAGCGCAGCACCGTCCTTGTTAATGCGTAGGCTAGTTGCCTGGTGACTCATCTGCCCTTTCCTCTACACGAATGCGAGGACCCAATCGCGAACGCGTAGGCCTAAGAACTCAGTGCTTCGCGCACGCGGGACATGCATCGCGAGCACACAGTCTTAATTCCAGCAGCACTCAAACATCCTCTACGTGAACGCGGGAGAACCTTCGTGAATGCGTAGCAAGAAACCAGACACAAGCAATAGCTGATGCTTAAGCTATAACACCAAGTCCAATTATAGTCCATTAACCAACCGGAAACCACTCGAGGCCCCGGGGACCTCAACCAAACATACCAACAAGTGCTAAAAACATCATATAAACTTATTCGAGCCTTCAAATCACATCAAACAACGCTAAAAACATGAATTACACTCCAATTCAAACTTAATGAACTTTGAAACTTCAAACTCCTACAACTGATGCCGAAACCTATCAAATCATGTTCGATTGACCTAAAATTTTGCACACAAGTCATATTCGACATTATGGACCTACTCCAACTTATAGAATCGGAATCCGGCTCCGATATCAAAAAGTCCACTCCCGGTCAAACTTCCCAAAAATTCAACTTTCGTCATTTCAAGCCTAAATTAGCAACGGACCTCCAAATCACAATCCGAACACGCTCCTAAGTCCAAAATCATCCAAAGGAGCTAACGGAACCGACGAAACTCCATTCTGGAGCCATCTTCACACAGTTCCAACTACGGTCAAATTCCTAGAACTTAAGATTCTATTTTAGGGACTAAGTGTCCCAATTCACTCCGAAACCAAAAACAAAACCTCCCGGCAAGTCACATAAGCATAAAATGATACGGGGGAAATAGTAAATCGGGGATAGGGGCTATTACCCCCAAAACGACCGGCCGGGTCGTTACATCCTCCCCCTCTTAAAACAATCGTTCGTCCTCGAACGAGTACACGACATACCTGAAGTGGTGAAACGATGAGGATAATGGATGTGCATACCATGCTCGATCTCCCAAGTCGCCTCCTCGATCGGCTGACCCCTCCAGTGAACCTTCACTGAAGCAATGTTCTTTGACCTCAGCTTTCGAACCTCCCTGTCAAAAATAGCCACCGGCTCCTCAACATAAGATAAATCCTTATCCAACTGGATTGAGCTGAAATCTAACACATGAGACGGATCACCGTGATACTTCCAGATCATAGAAACATGGAATACCGGATGAACTCCTGCTAGACTGGGAGGCAAGGCAAGCTCATAAGCAACCTCCCCAATTCGCCACAACACCTCGAACGGGCCAATAAACCTTGGGCTCAACTTGCCCTTATTCTAGAACCTCATAACACCCTTCATGGGCGAAACCCGGAGCAAGACCGCTCCCCAACCATGAATGCAACATCGCGAACCTTTCGATCCGCATAACTCTTCTGTTTGGACTAGGCTATGCGAAGTCGATCCTGAATCACCTTGACCTTCTCCAAAGCATCCTGAACCAAGTCTGTACCCAATAGCCTAGCCTCGCCCAGATCGAACCAACCCACTGGAGACCGACATCATATACCATACAAAGCCTCATACGGTGCCATCTGAATGCTCGACTGATAACTGTTTTTGTAGGCAAACTCCGCAAGTGGCAAGAACTGATCCCAAGTACCCCTAAACTCCATCACACAAGCACGATTATATCCTCCAGTATCTGAATAGTGCGCTCGGACTGTCCGTCCGTCTGAGAGTGAAATGTTGTGCTCAACTCAACCCGAGTACCTAACTCATGTTGTACGGCCCTCCAGAATCGCGATGTAAACTGCGTATCCTGGTCAGAGATGATAGATATCGGCACGCCATGAAGCCTGAAAATCTCGCGGATATAAACTCGAGTCAGCTACTCGGAAGTATAAGTAGTCATCACAGCAAAGAAATGAGGTGACTTGGTCATCCTATCCACAATCACCCAAACTGCATCAAACTTTCGCTGAGTACGTGGAAGCCCAACAATGAAATCCATAGTGATCCGCTCCCATTTCTACTCCGGATTCTCTAGCTTCTGAAGCAATCCACCTAGTCCCTGATGCTCATACTTCACCTATTGGAAATTTAGGCACCGAGCTACATATTCCACTATGTCCTTATTCATTCTCCTCCACCAATAATGCTGCCTCAAGTCTTAATACATCTTCGCGGCACCCGGATGAATGGAGTACCTTGAACTTTGAGCCTCCTGGAGAATCAACTCATGCAAACCATCTACATTGGGAACACATGGCCTGCCCTGCATCCTCAATGCGCCATCATTACCAATAGTGACCTCCTTAGCATCACTGTGTTGAACCGTGTTCTTATGGACAAGCTGATGGGGGTCATCATACTGACGCTCTCTAATACGATCATAAATAGAAGACTGAGAGACCACACAAGCCAAAACTCGACTCGGCTTAGAAATATCTAATCTAACAAACTGGTTGGCCAAGGCCTGAACATCCAATGCCAATGGCCTCTCTGCTGCTGATAGAGATGCTAAGCTCCCCAAACTCATCGCCCTGCGACTCAAGGCATCGACCACCACATTGGCTTTTTCGGGATGGTATAGAATAGTGATATCATAATCCTTAAGCAGCTCTAACCACCTCCGCTGACGCTAGTTAAGATCCTTCTATTTGAACAGATGTTGCAAACTCTAGTGATCAATGTAGATCTCACAAGGGAGACCGTACAAATAGTGCCGCCAAATCTTTAATGCATGAACAATAGCTGCTAACTCAAGGTCGTGTACATGATAGTTCTATTCATGCACCTTCAGCTGTCTGTACACGTAGGAAATCACCCTACTGTCTTGCATCAACACTGCACCAAGACCAATCCGCGACGCATCATAATATACAATATAAGACCCCAAACCTGTAGGCAATACCAATATTGGGGATGTAGTCAAAGCTGCCTTGAGCTTTTAAAAGCTCTACTAACACTCCTTTGTCCACCTGAACAGATAGCCTGGACATAGGTATTGTAATAGATGAGAAACCCTCTACAAATCGACGGTAATACGCTACCAAACCAAGACAACTTTGGAGCTCTGTAGCTGAGGACGGTCTAGGCCAACGATGCACTGCTTCAACCTTCTTCAGATCTACCTTGATCCCCTCACTCGACACTACGTGACCCAAAAATGCCACTGAATCTAGCCAGAACTCACACTTTGAGAATTTTGCATATAACTTCTTTTCTCTCAAGGTCTGAAGTACAGTTCTCAGGTGCTGCTCATGATCCTCCCGACTCTAGGAGTACACCAGAATGTCGTCAATAAATACAATGATGAAAAAGTCAAGATACGGCCAAAATACACTGTGCATCAAATGCATGAATGCTGTTGGGGTGTTGGTCAGCCCAAATAACATCACAAGGAACTCGTAATGAACATACCAAGTCCTGAAAGTAGTCTTCAGAATATCTGGCTCCCGAATCTTCAACTGATGATAGCCTGAATACCAGCCAATCTTGGAAAACACTCTGGCACCCTGTAACTGATCAAATAGTTCATCAATACAAGGCAATGGATACATGTTCTTCACTGTAACTTTGTTCAAGTTGCGATAATCAATGCACATACGCATAGAACCATCCTTCTTCTTCACAAACAAGACTGGGGTACCCCAAGGTGACACACTGTGCTGAATGAAGCCCTTATCAAGCAATTCCTTTAATTGTTCCTTCAACTCCTTCAACACAAGAGGAGTCATACGATATAGAGGAATAGAGATGGGCTAAGTGTCCGGTAACAAGTCAATACCAAAGTCGATATCTCTGTCGGGAGGCATCGTGGAAAATCAGTTGGAAATACATCGGGATAATCCCTTACTACTGGAACTGACTCAACTGTAGGGGTATCAAGACTGACATCCCTCACATAAGCTAGATACGCATCACACCCCTTCTCAACCATTCGTTGAGCTTTAAGAAATGAAATAATTCTACTGGAAGTATAATCTAAGGTACCTCACCACTCTAATCATGGTAATCCTGGCATAGCCAACGTCGCGGTCTTGGCGTGACAATCAAGAATAACTATAATGGGGCGACAACCAATCCATGCCCAAAATAATATCAAAGTCTACCATACTGAGCAATAATAAATCGGCTCTGGTCTCAAAACCACTAAGAGCAACCAAACACGATCGATACATACGATCAACAACAATAGAATCTCCCATAGGTGTAGAGACATAAATAGGAGAACTCAAAGAATCACGGGATACGCCCAAATACGGAGCAAATAAGATGACACATAGGAATAAGTGGAGCCTGGATCAAATTAGACTGACGCATCTCTATGACAGACCGGAACAATACCTGTAATGACAGATTCAGATGCAACTGCCTTTGTACGAGCAGGAAGAGCATAATATCTAGCCTGGCCTCCCCCTCTAGAGCGACCTCTACCTGCCCGACCTCCACCTCGAGATGGCTGAGCAGGTGGAGTGGTAGCTGGTGTTTTAATCATAGCCTAGGGACCCGGTAGAGCACGCGGCACCTGAGAAGTCTTTGGAGGTGCACCCCTCCTAAGACTTGGGCAATCCCTCACGATACAGCGAGTGTCGCCACACTCAAAACAAGCTCTCGAAGGGCGCGGATGCTGTGATTGTCTCGGTCCAGGTCGGCTGGGCTGACCGCTGAAAGCACCCCGTGCAGGAGGTGCACTAGACACTGGCGGTGCATAATAAGGCTCCCGAGGCTTAGGAGTGGCCGAAAAACTACTAGCGGCTGGAAGTGCTGAAAGCACAGGGCGACTCATATAGCCTCTACCATGACGAACTACAGCTGGGGCACGAGTACCACTATAAGTGCCAGACTCTCGAGACCTCTTGGCCTTTCTCTCCTCTCTCTCCCGAGCAAGCATACCCTCCAATCTCCTAGCAATCCCCACAACCTGTTGGTATGCAATATCCATCTCTAACTCCCGGGCCATGCTAAGCCTGATACTGGGGTTGAGTCCCTCGATGAGCCGACGGACCCTCTCTCGAATTGTAGCAACCAAGGCTGGTGCATGCCTAGCCAAATCACTGAAGCGAACTGCATACTCTACACAGTCATAGCACCCTGGCGTAACTGCTCAAACTCTGTGCGCCATGCATCTTTGAGACTCTGGGGAACATACTCCCTCAAGAACATATCCGAGAACTGAGTCCAAGTAAATGAAGCTGCCTCAGCCGAACTACCCAACTCATAAGCACACCACCACTGATAGGACACTCCTCTAAGCTGGAACGTAGTGAAAGAAACCCACTCGACTCCGCTACACCCATAGTACGGAGGATACGGTGGCACTCATCAAGAAAACCCCAGGCATCCTCTGACGCCAAGCCACTGAAAGTAGGAGGGTGGTACTTCTTGTACCTCTCGAGCCTGAGCTGCTCCTCCTCAGAAATTGTTGCCTTACCCTCGGGCCGAACTGGGGCTACCGTCTGCACTGTTATGACCTCTGAAACCTGATCGACCTAAACACGCTGCTCTGGGGTGCGGGCAGTGGGAGTCTGTGCTCCTCCCCCAGCCTGAGATGTGGCAGGAGTAACTGGAATCAACCCTACCTGAGCTAGAGTACCGAACATGCTCAAGAACTGTGCAAGGGTCTCCTGAAGAGCTAGTGTAGTAACAGGCGTCTCAGGTTCCTATGCTCCGACTGGAGCTACTAGTGGCTCCTCTGTAGCAGCTCGTGCGGGTGCTCTGGCTGCACCACAGGGACGTCCTCGTCCTCTACCCCGACCTCGGCCTCCCGTGGATCCAACAGGCGGCGCGGGTGCCTGGTCTTATGATTTCGCTGTACGTGTCCTCACCATCTGTGAGAGAATAGAAGACAAAAGTTTAGAATTCCGAAGTCAATAATTTCGCACAACAATCAATCAAAGAAGTGAAATTTTCCTAACAGTTCCATAGCCTCCCGAAGATAAGTACAGACGTCTCTGCACCGATCCGTAAGACCCTACTAAACCTGCTTGTGACTCATAACACCTATGAACCTAGAGCTCTGATACCAATTTGTCACGATCCAATTTTCCCTCCGTAGTCGTGACGGCACCTAGTCTCTATGACTAGGTAAGCCTAACAATTGCGGAATAATCAAAAATAAAGACAGAATCAACAACTAAATTTCAACAGATAACTATATACCGGAATAATGCCGCTCGGCATGTACAAGTAAACCAACACTCGAGTATAACAATATTCCCAAAACCTGGTAGTCACAAGCTCTAAGAATTTGTCTAACTTTTCTATAAATTAGTAACTAGAAGAAATAAAGGAGGAACAACATAAAAGGGATAGAGGGGGACTTCGAGGTCTGCGGACATTGGCAGATATACCTTGAAGTCTCCAGAGCAGCAGCAAGTACGCAACTAATAGCAGGACTAGTAGGAGGTACCTGGATCTGCACACAAAATATGTGCAGAAGAGTAGCATGAGTACACCACAACGGTACCCAGTAAGTGCCAAGCCTAACCTCAGTAGAGTAGTGACGAGGTCATGTCATGGCCCTACTGGATTATAATAATTTAAGGCAAAAAAATAATATAACAGTGTAATAAGAGACTGGAAAATTTAACAAGGAGAAAATATAGAATATAACAGCACAACACATAGCGATAAACAACAGGGGCGCTCCCGAGATACCGTCTCCTAGTCCTAAAAGTAAATGCTTAATAGGGGATCTCCCGAGATACCGTCTCGTAGTCCCAAAAGTAAATATGCAAGGGGATCTCCGAGGTACCGCCTCGTAGTCCCAAAAGTAAATGTGCAGGGGGAGATCTCCCGAGGTGCCGCCTCGTAGTACCAAAAGTAAATGTGCAAGGAGATATCCCAAGGTACCGCCTCGTAGTCCCAAAAGTAAATACACAGCTCGAAACCGATGGAAACAACACTTAGCAGCAAGAACTCTACAGTTTAAGACTAATACAAATCAAGGAAAAATAGGAATTCAACTAAGCATGCTCCACAAATTTCAAATAAGCATTTTAGACACGTAGACATGCGATATTAGGCTAAACAGGATAACTACACATGCTAGTATAACTTAACTAAGATGTAACAGGTTACTACTCAGTAAAAATTGAATTTTTCAACAATTAGCCCGTGTACGCACTCGACACCTCGCGTACACGCACTCACATATCACAGAAGTATCACAACATCATCAAATCCTAAGGGAATTTTTCCCACACAAGGTTAGGCAAGCCACTTACCTCGAACCAAGCCCAATCAATCAGTAAGAATGCCCTTTCCTCGATTTTTCGACTCCGAACGGCCCAAATCTAGCCAAAAGCAATTACATACCATAAATATAACTATAAGAAACTAATCTAATTAATGAAATCAAGATTTTAACAAGAAATTCAAAAATCGCCCCAAAACGCCGACCCGGGTCCACGTCTCGAAATCAGGTAAAAGTCACAAAATACGAACACCCATTCAATCACGAGTTCACTCGTACCAAAATTACTCAAATCCTATATCAAAATCTCAATCAAAACCCAAAAATTTGGTTGAAGAACTTTTCCACTTTTCCCTCAAATTTCTCAACCCAATTTTTAAATTAGAAGATGAAATTAATGATAGATTAGTTGGATATAACCAAAAACAAGTGAAGAATCATTACCCAACCGATACCTCTGAAAATCCCTCCAAATCCGAGCTCTCTATCTCAAGTTATGATAAAAATGGCAAAACCCTCATTTTTTGAAATATAATTTGCTGCCCAGGTAAAACCTTCTTCGCGAACGCGAAAACATCCTTGCGTCCCCGAAGCATAATAATGCTTCAGTCCAATAACCTTCTTCGTGAACGCGGAGCTTACACAGCCTGACCCTACACGAACGCGGGACCCTCATCGCAAACGCGTAGGTTAATTGCCTGGTGACTCATTTGCCCTTTCCTCTACACGAACACGAAGACCTAATCGCGAATGCGTAGGCCTAAGAACTCAGTGCTTCGCGAACACGGGACATGCATCGTGAACGCGAAGGCTTAATTCCAGCAGCACTCAAACTTCCTCTACCTAAACACAGGAGAACCTTAGCGAATGCGTAGAAGGAAACCAGACACCAGCAATAACTGATGCTTCAGCTATAACACCAAGTCCAATTCTAGTCCGTTTACCATCCGGAAACCATCGAGGCCCCCGGGACCTCAACCAAACATACCAACAAGTACTAAAACATCATACGAACTTAGTCGAGCCTTCAAATCATATCAAACAACGGTAAAAACACAAATCGCACTCCAATTCAAACTTAATGAACTTTGAAACTTCAAACTCCTACATTCGATGCCGAAACCTATCAAACCACGTCCGATTGACTCAAATTTTGCACACAAGTCATATTTGACATTACAGACCTACTCCAACTTCCGGAATTAGAATCCGACCCCGATATCAAAAAGTTCATTGCCGGTCAAACTTCCCAAAAATTTAACTTTCGCCATTTCAAGCCTAATTTAGCTACGGACCTCCAAATCACAATCCGGACACGCTCCTAAGTCTAAAATCATCCAATAGAGCTAATGGAACCGACGAAACTCCATTCCGGAGCCGTCTTCACACAATTCCAACTACGGTCAAATTCCTAGAACTTAAACTTCCATTGTAGGAACTAAGTGTCTCAATTCACTCCGAAACAAAAAACGAAACCTCTCGGCAAGTCACATAAGTATAAAGTGATACGGGGGAAGCAGTAAATAGTGTATCGAGGCTATTACTCTCAAAACGACCGGCCGTGTCATTATATCCTCGCTGATGCATATGTAAAACGCTTCGCCTTACGCCCACACCTTTTAAAACACTGGTTTAAACCACCTCAAATCTCCACGGCATCGTCCTAAAATTGAAATTTAACCTCCTTGAAATGTACCTATTCTATTCCAATAACACCGGCTCAAACAAATTCTAACTTTAAAACATTTTTAAGTATGCATTATATTTTCTGGATTATTTCGATAAATATTGTAGGCTTGCATGAATGAAACATGATTGATTAAGCAATTCTAGGCTTGCACGAATCGAACATGATTGCTTAATCAATTACTAATTGATAAAACTTTTCAGTATTGCTGCTGGCAGTAGTTGTCTGACTCTAATAATTCTATTTTCTGGTGTTCTTTCACCAGTCCACGCGTACTTTCTTTTTGCCACTATATATTTATTACATGCTAGCAAGTGGCAAGGGTTTAATACCTCCACGAATTCAATCAGTCGTACCAAAGTAAATAGATATTATAACGTAAAAAAATTTTACTTTCAATGTATCGCCTCTTGTTAATTGGACTAGCCTCTATAATTTACAACATTGTGCAAGTACTTCTATTATATTCATCACCTCATGAATAAAAGAGTATACCAATGAATAATTACATAGTCGAGTTCTTTGTTCTGATTCGACTTAAAGTTTTTGACAGCACAATATATATACAGTTTAGCCTTTAATTAATATAAACAGTTAAATAACAGAACAAAAGTAGGAGAAGAAGAAGAGGAGATGTCGACAAAACTATGCTAAAAAGAAAATGGTTTTCCTCGAAATGCTAAAAGGCAAGTAGGCATAAGATATTGAATTGAAGTGCCAAGGCTCACATATTAATGGACGAGCCAATGCTTTTGCGAAAATTGCCAATCCCAAGGAGATATCACACCCTTCTTTTCTATATACTTTTATTATTTATGAAGTCAGTATTTGGTTGATCAAGCTTCATTATTGATGCTAGCTTTCCTGCCATCACCTTCTAGAATTTTTCCTTTTTTGTTTTTTCTGTTATGTAATTTTTGGAAAAGAAGGCACACAAAGGCACTACTCTAGTGATTTATAAAGTAGGGCTATAAGGTTTTAGGTTTAAATTCTAATAAAGATAAAGTACTAAGTTATTTCTTTCAATATGTTTAAATTTTGATAAACAAAATTACTTGATTATATACTAATAAGAAATAATAAATATCTAATAATATTAATCATAAGTTGACCTAAACATCAACATTACTTAAAAGAAATTGGAAAAGCTAAGAGAGGAGCCTCATCTACATCTGCTACACAAATAATGCCAATATAAATGTTATCACCTAAGTCCCTCCTGCCTGGCATGAATATCTTCCCATGCTTAGTTGCTTACTTTCCTCACTAAGCGACACTGTTATTTCAATATCATGATGTCCATGTATATATCTCTAAACTAAAATATATTTTTAGTCATTTTTAATAGCGTAGTGTCAACCTATATTTTCATTTTTCGGAAACTAATTAATAATGGACGTGACAAATTATTTGTTGGATTTAATTACATTTTATGATCGTGCTACTTGAAAAGAATGAGCGGTTGTTAGGTGATTTGAATTTTTTCCTCTCTACAAATTCATAATCAAGGGAAAAAGCTGATAGAACGTTATTATTGTTTCATAAAAATGATTAATCATGAATTATTAGAGTGGGCGAACGTGTACTTTCGCTTTCTACTTTTCTTTTTATTTTTGAGAGGGTATGATATATACTATCACGGTCCAAAGCTAAAATATCCTGCTCAGGAACTATTCATGATTAAATTTCAAATTCGAATTACCCACAGAAAGCAAGTATTGGCCATGCGGAAAAAGTACTCTAGGCGTTAGATTAGAATTTAGAAAACGATGTAGTTCCGCTTCGATTCTATTTTATTTGTTGTTTGGTTAATATAGAGTTTCTCTAATTCTTACACAATTACACTGACGTAAAAACACAAGTGAGATTAATATTCAGTATGCAGCCAATAGCCATATAATGTCACCTAAATTACAAGACCTACATAGTTTTTTTGTATATGTTGATCCACGTTAATCAAAATAGATAACGCGTAATTAATAAAAACGGAGAATTTACAGATATATTTTTGTAGCGGAAGCACTATGATTGATTGAACTGCGATAGAATCATTAATCGGCAATGGTCCTCACGATATATATCGGACAAACCCTTATATCATAGTTTATTCATATAGCTAGTTTGATCGGTAAAGAAGAGAGCATGAAAAATGCTGACGGTTCTATCTTTCGTATATTTTAATTGTACATTGTAAATGTACATATAAAGGAAAAATTACTAGAATATAATTAGCAGTAATTTGAAATTAATATATTGTTCCTAGTGGCCTTTTAGAGAAATTTTATTGGTGGATTCTAATTCCAACAATAGAAATTAACAATTACTCTAATATGCATAGATGAAGAATGAAATAATTATTAAATCTAATAGAGGCATCACATTGAAGCGTCTGAAAAAGGAGTGGCAGTCAACACAGAAAATAAGCAGAGCTGAATCTCCGGCCGCCGAAAACCTTCTCTGTTACACATATATAATTTGACCACCGATGACGATGATTGCCACATAATGAGCAGCCGCGGCGTACAAGTGTTGCGCAGAAGGCCTTCCACGTGGTACAAAAAAAGCGAAGGACTTGCGTTTCTCTGGGTACTTGCGATTTTGTTGAACAGTTGCAGGCGTCATTAAGGAATACAGTTTGAATTTACATGGAGTGTTCAACTTCTTTGGGTTTATCCACATTGGTTACATTATAAAATTGTAAAAACTCTCCCTTTTCAAAGCCACTTAGGTTGGAAAGTCACAATTAAGCATTCCTACCTCATTAACTCAAGATAAGATATAGAAAAGATTTGTTATTCCTCTTCTTTTCTTGTGAGAATTAAAAACGAAAAAGGCAAAATAGAAAGATAGACACTCAAACTTGGCTTAATTAATAGTTTGACGTTTAAACTTATTTAGTGACCAGATAGACATCTTTTCTTGGCAAAAATGTGTCTCGTGAGCCCCTCAAGCTGGTAAACCTCACGCGTGAAATATAAACACTATTGACGTGTTAAAGTAACAAATCACTGAATGACACGTGTAATAAAAAAGAAAAAAGAAAAAAGCCGAAAGGAAAAACTAAACTAAGAAATTCCCAGCTTGAGGGGTACACGAGACATACTTATGCCAAGAAAATATGTCTATCTAGTCACTAGGTAAGTTTAAATGTCAAACTCACAATTGAAGCCAAGTTTAACTCATTACTAGAAATCCGGTAAATTCCGACCGACGTGTACCGACCAACGTTAGTCGGTCCAGAAAAGCGACCAAAAAACCGTCTTATACGGACAGAAACTATTAAAAAATTATTTTACATTTTTATAAATGTCATACTGACCACGGAAGATCGGTAAAAATTGGTGCAATTACCCGGGAAAATAATATCGACCGATATCGGTCAGTATATTGGTCAAACATTTGATCGCAATGGTCAGACTTGCTTAGTCAAAGTATTTTTTTGGTTACCAACCAACATCGGTCGGTTATATAGACCCACGTATTTAAATTATAATAATTATATTATTTATTTAAAATATTTTATAAAATCTATGTTCTAGTTACCGATCAAAGTCGGTCGGTTATTACAGGAGAACATTTTACCGACCAACTTTGGTCGGTAATTGTAATTTCTGAAAACTAATTAACCGACCAATATCGATCGGTTCATAGGTCAAACATGCCAAACTTTTAAATCACATTAAAATTTACTATATACATAATATAAATATAATTCATGTACCACTTTATTTTGTAATACAAATAATGAATGCACTAACATATACTATAATAAGCATTTAAGAACGCAAAGCTCTAGCGCCACAAGGTCGTTATTTTTTTTAGGGATAGGCTTGTGAAGAAGCAATAATCTAATTAGTATATATAATTGATCATCATCAAATATATCTATTTGAATAATTATTAAATTGATTCATCGACTTATAACTTAGAAATTAAAATTAGCGTACCTATATGCATCAATGAAAATTAAAAATAAAACGTCTCGACCTATATCGATTAATCTATATATGCCATGTATTGTTAGTTATGAACGAATGAAATATAGAACAATATTAAACTTTATTGACATGTATATATGTATCACAAATTAAATAAAGGAAAGAAGCTATTAGCATTATGACAATCATATATAAGTAAACGAGTTAATATAACAACAAACTAAATATATTTAAAATAGAATAATATTGGTTTACCAATTCATCAATTGATCAAGTTTTCGTGCGTTGTAAGGCATGCACATCCGTCATATTTAAAGTTGTACAACGATACATATTGATCATCAATTGCAATATAATGTAAGTGTGTGTGTTGTGTTTGTAATTGTGTGTGTGCGCGTATGTGAAATGACTCATATACTTAATAATAACTTAGATAGATGAATACAAAAGGTAAAACGTCTTGACAGATATTTATTAATATATATGATTTATAATTAGTTATAAAACGATTGAATATATAAGACGAAACGTCTAATTCAAATAAAGTAAACGTCTCATATATATATACGTTTATTGTTTAGTATGATTGATTAATTATATATATGTGTGTGTGTGTGAGTGTGTGAGAGAGAATGAAATATATTCTTATAGTATATTAAAAGTAATTAGTAAATATAATTATTTATAAAGATCATGCTTATAGTTTATAATTATATTTCAAATTTAATAAGTTTTTGAGAAATAATGATGAAATGGAATTAATATTGGTTTATTTTTCTTTCTTTTTTAAAGATTACCGACCGAAATCGGCCGGTTAACTGTGGTCAAACACAGTCAACGGTCACTTAAGTGTACCGACCGACTCTATCGACCGAAGTCGGTCAGTATCTTTTAATTTCAAATCTATAATACAGGTTTCCCCCTTATTTCTCTTCTTCTCTTTTCAAAATTTTCTAACTCTCACTCTCATCTCCCTCACACACACAGCCCCCTTGCCCCACTCCTCCGTGCCACTGCAGTTGCCTCCATTCCGGCCATTGCCGCCGCTGCTACTACCGCTACTGCCCCTCATTCTCCACCTCCTAAAAGTTTCGGGTTTCGATTTGAACTAGTTTTTTGGGCATAATTTTAATATTTTGTTAATTAGTTATGAATTAGTTAATTAGTGTTTAAATTGATTATTTAACCTTGAATTTAATTGATTCTATTTATTAACCAAATTAATTTATTTTCAGGAAAAGAAGTATGGGCGTCCACTGCAGCAAGATGATCTATTCAAGGAGATGCATATTTTAAAGAAGAAGAAAGAGGCGAATGCTGATAGGTGGATCGAGGACCGGGCAGAGACTACATATGTAAGCTTTCAAATTCCTTAAGTGATATAATTTACTTTTATAAGATTTGTTATATACTAATTTAATTTAAAATAACATAGGATCGCTATCAAAGTACCGTGGAGGACTTTATTCGTAGTCAGCCAGCCGTTGAGTCAGGCGAGCCAACCCAACCTTTGGACGAGGATGCTGAAAGAATATGGTTGGAGGTTGTTGGCGGTCCAAAAAGGGGAAGGTATACGGGCTTCCAAAGAAAAAATTTCACTGCTATAGGTGTGGAAATCAAGGAATAGGGACTTCCTCACAGGGCGAGGCACTTAATAGGAAGAGCCTCTCAGCTATGCAGGAGACAGTGACATGGCTTACATCCGAGCTAGAAACGGCAAAGGAAAGAGAAAGGCTTAAAAATGCACAATTCCTTGGTATGCATGCTCAGATCAGAACTCTCTTTTCTACTGGAGTTTTTCCGTTGCCCCGGTCTCGTGAGTCACCGCCAGAGGCTCGACCGTCCTCCACGTGATCGTTTTTCCCGTCCTTCACAAGACTGTTCTTACCGTCTTCTAGATGAAAGTTCATCAGATAGTGGTAATGCTGTAGAAAATACCCTTTGAACAATACTTTGATAAACTTTGATCTAGACTAATAAAACTTGTTTTGAATTCGAATAAACATTTTTAAACTTGTTGTAATTACTTAATTTTTGATTGGTTTTGATTGTGATGTTTAATTGAACTTTTTTATTTTAAAGTATTGATTTGTTTGAATTGGGATGTTTGGTTGGATATGGTTGAATATGGTGTGTATGGGTGGTTGGATTAAGTATGGTGGGGGTTATTTGTGGTGAATTTTTGGTGAATTGGGAGTTATTGGTTGTTGTTGAATATATAATTTTGTTTGGCAGGTGGTGTAGCTATCAAAATAGACATTTTTTTGTCAAAATTATTCCAAGAAAACCGACCGATCTCGGTTGGTAATGAAAAAAATTTAATTGAAAAATTCCGACCAATGTTGGTCGGTTAATGTCGGTAATCTTAAATTTTAATTAATTAAAAAAAAAAGAATATTTCTAGTACTGACCAACGTTAGTCGGTAATTTAAATATTATTTGATTAATTTCTTTTTTATTTACCAACCAAAGTTGGTCGGTAACGAAAATTATTAGATTTAGCTCACCGACCAACTTGGTCGGTAATATTAAATTGTTAAAATAATATTCCGATCAATATTGGTCGATGGGTCACTTAAATTGTTAAATGGAGTGACCAACCGATGTTGGTCGGTAATTTTCGAACGACTTTGATCAGTATGCTCTACCGATCATTAAATTAACGACCACACGTAATTGGTCGCATTTTGGACAGTTATTAACTATTTACGACCGAAATCGGTCATTTTGTCGGACGGTTTTAGGCAAATTTTTAGTAGTGACTAGTACCGCCTATTAATATATTTTTGTCAAAAAAATGTACTGTAATTTCTTGACGACCGAAGAGAATAAACGGGCTACAACCATATTTTCAAATAACAGAAGTATATTATTTTTAACTGATAACATAACTCTTTCAAAAATTGTAGCTTTAGCTTTCATAATTGGTGAGATAAACGATATTTTTTCGTGAAATAGCACGGGCTAGCCAGTTTTTGGACTGATCATTCAAAAATAGCCAGCGTTTGCAAAGTTATTGAAAATAGCCACTATTTTGCTGCAACAGGGGCCGATCCAGCATAATATACTGGAGATAGGTGCACATGTGTATGAACTTCCAGCATATTATGTTGGAATTCCAACACGCGGAGTTCCAGCATAATATACTGGAGATTGGAGCACCTACTTATGAACTTCCGGCATATTATACTGGACCGGTATATTATACTGGACCGGTATATTATACTGGAACTCCTGTATATTATGCTGGAGTTCCAGTATACTTATGCTGGAACTCCAATATAATATGCTGGAGTTCCAGTATACTTATGCTGGAACTCCAGTATATTATGCTGGAGTATTTTCCGGATTTTGAACAGTATTTTCGTTCAGATTTATCTTTACATGAAAAGTGGCTAAATTTCGATTACTTTTGAAACTGTGACTATTTTTAAATGGTCACTTGTAAATCTGGCTATTTTTGAATTTCTCCCTATTTTTTCGTAGTTGGTTTTTAGTGTTTACATCCCGACAAATCAAATCAATTATAATATTAACGAATTAAAGTGACAATAAATACTACTTAATTATGATTAAAAAGTAAAATAATTAACACAAAATATATACTTAAATATTTATTTGTTTGGTATAAACGTCAAAATTGAATAAATTTTTCGTTTGTGAGATCAAGCGAGCTGCTCGAGC